AACAGAGCCTATAATGCACAGGGCCTAGCATTCCCTCTGTCTAGTAGAATAAAGGATAAGCTCAGGCAGAATGCCCACAGTGGGGGTGGAGAGAGAATTATGAGACTTCAACTATAGCTGCCACAATAATCACATTTGTTACTTTGTAACATTTTCTGAAGATCGCTTTCCATGATCATTTTATGCTGGAAAAAAATCAGGCAAAGAAAAGATTATAAATTTCCCCCTTTATTGGATAGATAATTTATAATACCTGTAAACCTGCCTAGAGATTAGAATCAAAGCAGTGTTTAATAGCCCATGCATGGGGATTAACAGGCACTTATTGCAAATATATGAGTCTGAGCTACATGAGGATATTTTATGGGAGCTGGGTGAGTTTTTGATATAAAGATGTTTATGAAAAGGTGCTTTGTTCTCACTAAAAAACTTTAAGCTTTTCAATGTTTATCGTTAAAATAGAGTTGGGTTAGAGAGTACATTCATGGGTTAATGTGACTGAATGCAATTTATATAAATGAAATAAAAGAATACACTGAATTCCCACATACAGTATACTAAGAGGATTTCAGAATGGTGAAAGTCAAGTGCTTTGTTGCTGGGGTGCTATTAATATCGCAAGTGGCAGTTGTGCTTTGGAACTTGAATTTTAGAGTTAACTACAAGGGGTGTATGCTCTTCATCAGTTCAACTAACCTATCCTGGGGTGAATCACTGAGTAAAATATACATCACACTTTCTTCTTAACTGCATTTTAAAATAGCTACTTGATACTGGGCTTTGGAAAGGGCCATCACTCCAGTGTTGTCCAAAATAAAATGCTTCATGGCAGCAATGAAGATTATCTCCAACACAACCAATGTGTCATACTTACTACCATAACTGGGGTCCCTTTTTATTTTATTCTTTCACATTCTTCCAGTATGTGCCATTGTCTCTGTTGTGTCAAGATAGTAATTTCTGCACTGGATATCAACTTTTCCATGATAGTGGTTAGTGTTTATTAAGTCATTCTTCTAGCTCTAGAAGCAAGTTCTGTTCACTCAAACTATGTCCTCTTCATACTTGAAGAGCATGGTCGTAAATCGTCTCCTCTTCTTCTCTCCTGTCAACACCTGTTCTAAATCTTTCCTTTCTTTCATACTCCTTATCAAGACAGCAGGGAACACTCATTGCCTACGAAGCTTTTCTAATAATTCCCATTCTATAGTCATGATTCCTAAAGTCATATTGTCTTTGACACAGTGTATGTTGTGTGCCTATAATCTCAAAGCTTGGGAGGCTGGAGAATTTCTGCTTGTTCTAGGTTAGTCTGCACTATATAGTGAATTCCAGGTGGGCCTGACTACACAGTGAGATTCTGTCTCAAACAACCAGGAAGATACAACAACAAAAACATGATTCTTTCCCTGCAGTATCCACATCACTTAGTGTTTAAGAGAAATGTAATTTATCAACTTCATTTAGATTTACTGAATCAGAAACCCTGAGGATCAACCCAGCCATCTGTCTTTTTAGTAGCTGTTGAGTAATCGCGATGCATGTTTGAGAATGCCATTTCCATAGAGACTGCTACTCTGGCCATCATTAACAATTTGCGGATGTGATAAATAGATCACATTTGTTGCCACCCATCAGAAGCTGGAGAACACACACCCCTATGTAAACTTGTTTCTGGTGATGTTCATTCCCCTTCTGTCCCTAGACTCTTTTGTTAATCCTCTCCTGTCTCTTCTAGTCCCCATAATGCAGATTTTTAAGCGAAATTGCCACTGGGTCCCTCCTTTTCAGTCTTTGCATCTTTCTCATGAAATCCCATACATCCTCCTGGCCAGAGTTATAGCTTCTATGCCATTCATATCCAGTTGTTTTATCTAGCTTTACTTTTCATTTGGGTGGCTTCACATAAGTTTCAATGGCCTCCAGGACACGAATGCCTCTGCAGTGTACTGAGTTATAATTCAGAATATTTTTTTGAAACAGTGTTTCTCTATGTAGCTCCGACTGTCCTGGAACTCACTCCATAGACCAGGCTGGCTTCAACCTCAGAGATCCTCCTGCCTCCACCTGATGAGCATTGGGATTAAAGGCATATGCCATCACTGTCCAGCTAATAATGCAGAGTTACTAAAAGGAAGTCATTACCTCATTACACATGTATATTTGGTGTATCTTCATGCTTCTTTTTCCTGCAGCTGTAGTTTTCCTCCTCAGAAGTAGGGGAGGTTCCTTCTCAACTCAAACACTTTGCCTAAAATTTCAATACTTGATCTACTTTGATTTTTTGTTTATTCAGAAGGCAGAGCTATGATTAAATATTAAGTCTAAAGAGAAATAAGAAAATTGGTAGAGGGAAAGAGAGAGAGGGAAAAGGGAGAATGAGTAAGAGAGTACAGAGAATGAGAACGAGGGAGCGTGAGAGAATAACTATCCTAGCTTACTTTAAAGAACTTTCTAGTCATCAGAGCTGCTGATAAGTGTACTATGGATGTCTCTATTTACAGCATGTTCAAACATGAACTGGATGACCACACAGCAGAAGTTTCAGAATCTCATGAATGACTGGACTTGGTGATATCAATGTCTCACTCAACTTTGAGATTCTGTTTCCTTCTGCCATCATTTAAGTCTTCAAGTCTTTCTACCCATCTTCCACTGCTAAGCAAATATTTCAGTCAAAAGTCAGAGTCTCCCATTTTAGAAAGACTTCGTTGTGTGTGTAGTGTGTATGTGTGTTTAGTGTGTATATGTATGCATGTGGTGTGTGTGTATGTGTGTATTGCGTGATCTCTGTGTATGTGTGTGCCCACCTTTCCTCCCCCTCCACTGTGTGTGTGTGTGTGTGTGTGGTGTGTTTATATGTGTGTATGTATGCAATCTGTGTGTATCTGTGTATATATGTGCGATCTATGTGTGTATGTGTGTCCACCTTTCCTCCCCCTCCACTCTTATTGCACAAGTATGAGATTCATGAATTCATTCACCCCACATATTGGGTACTAGATGCTGATATTGTGAAACAGGATGTGCTATCCTTAGATTCTCACACCATCCTGGTAAGGAGATGAGAATCTCTGCAGGGGGCTGCAGCATGAGGTGATGGGGATAAAGGGTATCAATAGGAGAAAGGAAAGAGGCATCTTTGACCTACTCAAGAAGTCCAACTGTGGGAACTGAGTTTTGAGGTCTGGGTAGGTATTGTCCTGGTGAGAGTAAAGAAAGTACTATTCAGAAAGACTACTCTGCAACAATATGAAAATGCAAGCTGCATAAGGCTTTGGGAGCCTCAAGCATTAATATAGACAAGGATGCAAGAGATGATTGAAGAAAGTTTATCCAGGTTTGTGTTTAAGCCAAGTCTTTTCACTTCATTTTTGCCAGAGGACAATTTGCTTTCAAATTGTCAGAATAGAGACAGGAATATAAAATGATCTAAGATAGGCAAGGGTAATCAAAGTTCAGCTAAGGAATGGCAATGGACATGAAGAGCATCACATAGATTCTAGAAATTACCCTGAAGTGGCATGTACAGAACTCAAGAGGCTGGTTAGAGAAGTGCAGAGTCCAATATGACCCTGAGGTATAAGTCACACAGCTATGCAAAGAGTAGCACAAAGGAGACTATGCTGAGTATAAATGGTTACTTGGCAAATACAATCAGGACTTGCTAGAATTAGAAGGCATTTCTTCAGAATAAATAAGAACAGAGTGAGATAAGAGGTGGAGTAGGAGGGATATACCCACATAAGATTATTTTCACAAACATCCCATGTGACAATCACTAACTGATACCACTTATGAACACAGGCTACACATAAAGCCCCCAGGAACCCCATATGGTAGAAATTAAGTGTTTTCATTTTACAGAGGTGGAAACAGAAATGTGGGGTGAGGATCACAAATATGCACTTTTAAAAGTTTCCAGATAATTCTGATGAGACTTGAAAACTATCGACATGGGCTTGAGTGTGGTCCAAAACTTCTACCAAAGAGCATTCTGTGGTAAGGGAGTGATCTAAGTCATGGTGAGTGAAAAATGCCATGCCTATTGCCTAATGAAAGTGCTGCACAGGGATATGCTGAGAAATCATATCATGGTTTCTGTGGAAGCTGCTTCTCTTGCCATACTCTGCTGGTACGTACATACTTGAGGACACCCACTGAAGTACATTACTTACCAATCTACACAGATTATAAATAGAATATAAATTAGATATTCTTTATGTTGCATATAGACTATAAACAGTGGATCCATATATGGAATTGCCTGAATTGAATTACCTTAATGATTTTCAGAGAAACCCAAGGAATCCTCATTTAAGCCATCAGTATGGCTCAGGGAGAGTAGGTATATAAGACCAATTAAGATTTTGAAGTTAGAGTCACCAATGATCACAAAGTAGAAGTAGAGGCATCCCCCCACCCCCAGCTTCTAATGGAACAACAAGGAAAACAAGCTTTGGAAGGATACAAACTACAGTAAGGACAGTGTTCATCCAATGTTTCTCTTTTCCATTCACAGTGCCATTAGAGCTCTTCAGTACAATCTGAATATTGTCTCAACAATGTCACCGATACCAAGAACTCTCCCATGATTCAGGAGTGGCCACCAGCTTTTAGGCAGAGTGACCACTTGCACTTCAAACTCTCACATTACAAACAGTGAAGGGAGAAAGTTATGTGGAAAACAACAACTTCTAGGCTAAAATGTCTCCAATTAGCTGGAATTTGGGACAATTGATTTCACAGGCAGGCTAAACAAGCAACAACCTCGACACACCTGCAGGTGCTTTGTGCAAGCTCCCAGGTGCGCTGCTGAAGGGCAGGACTCTAAGAAGGACATTTGCAATTTTTTTTCAGGCTAATGTGAAAATGTGATTTTTGCAATGTACTTGGTAGTCCTTCTATCAACTACCATCTTCCTGGGCTTGTTGCTCCTTGTCATTGCTAGAGTATAGTAGTCAGCGTGCAACACCATAGGGACAGAGGGCACTACTAACCTGCTCATGAACTTGTACCGGCGGGGCAGGTAATAGATTTTTCTCCTGGAAGAACAGCAAAAATGAAGCCAGTCGAGAAGAAAACCCATCGTCAGTTACAGTTTGAACTAGCAAGGAAGGAAAGGAGATTGAAGATAGAATCCTGTAAGAGGTGAAGAAGAAAAAACTAAAGAGAGATTAACAGGGGGAAGTGTAGTAGGGACACAGGGTGGGCACTTGGAGTCGTGACACCCAATGGAACAGTTTCCATCATGATTTCGTCCTTTCATTGCTATATTTGTTTCAGAGCTGCATCTGGCCTACAGCACATAAGCAGGCAGCATGATACCTTAGGGAGGTTAGTGTTTCTCATGGATTCAGTGGAGGTCCACTTTCATCCGTGGAAATTCAGAGGGCTAGGGGCAACATACATAATTTAACAGACATGCTGTTAAGATAATATTTATATAGCAATTTGGGTTTTCAGAGCACTTTTATCACAACGCTGATAGAGGTATAAAAAACATATATTTCACATCCAGTACAAGAAAAGATTGTATCAGTAGTCAACTATAAATACCCATATGGGTATAACCACCACCTTACTGTTTACAGGTCAATTAAACAGGTAAAAACACAAGATCCTAGAAAACAGAAAACCAGGAATGGGATACAATAATGATCTGCTATGTTGCTTCACTTTAATTAATTTTTAAAAACGTTTAAATGAGAACTCTGGGCGTATTTGAGAAGAGAGCCTGTGCATTGGACACCTCATTAAACCCGATTTCTTTCGATAGTTCAGGGGTCTACAAAGGGATCAATCATGAGATTGAGGCAGCCCATGTGTATTCTGCATGGTCACTGTGCTACTTTGCTTTTGTAAAGAGGGGACTTTACATATTAAACAATATATGCCACATTTGGGTCCACAGATGCAGAGAATACAAAGTCAGAGGTTTGGGCCTGGAAGAAGGAAAGTACAGGTTTTTAGGATATCATATTCTGTATGATTCTATATGATTCCACATGATGACACACATTTATAAGCCTGCATATGAGTGGCTTTATTAAACCTTGATTAATAATAAGCTGCTATTGATCCATTAACGTCTATACACACACCCACGCTAACATGAGATGTTGGTTAGAAAACTGTAGAAGGTGGGTATATGGGACACACTATGCCATAGGCCCACTTTTCTTTGAACCTAAAAAATGCTCAAAATCAGCCCAATGAACTGTCCTTGGTACTAAATCACTTTGCCTCTCAGCAGATTATATTGGTGATTTTCCCCGACCCCATACCCGACTCTTCCCACACATATCTTTGCATTTGTAATCTCAGGTTTGTTATCTCATTTTGTTGTTTCTAACAAATGAGGATCACATTCCCTTAACCTATAACGAAGTAAGAATAGACACGGTGGGACAAAGGCAAGTTGATCTTTTTAAACAACCTAGCAATCCATACAAAATATCTTTATTCACCTTGTGACAATTGCCAATTATTTTTACATATATAGAGCTTATGACTTCTTTATTTTAAAAATTGTTTTTTAAAGATCATATTTATTTCTTAAACTTATTTCTTGGAAAAACTGCTTTTTAAATTTTTTTCCGGAAGGTACTGCTCAGTAAAGACCATGATATTTGGTGTCTAACTGTTCAAAACAGCAGTGCACAGACAATCTAGAAAATGACACTTTCAAAATGCAAACGCTACTTGGAAATGCTGTTTGATAGCAGGAAGGAGTCACTGTGGGCACAAAGATTGATTTGCATTTTCTAAACATTAGGAAAAATTTCTGCTTTAATGACTTTTCCAGCCTGTACTATGATTTTATTTGTTCCAAGAAACAATGTAATTAGGTTTACAGTGAAGCAGCAGAGAGGAGAGAGAGAGAGAGAGAGAGAGAGAGAGAGAGAGAGAGAGAGAGAGAGAGAGAGAAGCAGGGAAACACATTCACACCTACCTGAAAGGCATCCTTACATTCATTTGCTCTGCATATCTTCCAAGGACTTCCCATGGGGCATGCAACTTCACAAAGATAATGTCACTATTTATTAGAGAGGACTGAAACAGAAAAAAGAAACTAAATTGAAAAGTATATCCAAATCTCCCTCAGTTAAAATGCAGCTGGAACCTGGACTGTATTGGAGTTAATAATTGGGGAATTCTTCAACAAGATGAAAACAACCTGGGCAGCAGTGTGCAGATGGAGGCACCAATGAGACAGAGATCTGAAGCCGGGCTGGTGCCAGGCGCCTCTTCCAAGGCCTGCACTGGCTCTTCGGGGGCTTTTCAATTGACAAATTACCTGGACGTAAACTAGAACTTGACACCCTGATAAGAGCCCTACAGATTTTGGTCTTTGCCTATGATAAGAAAGACGTGAACAACCAACTGCAAAATCCTTCTTTGGACTTGGTCTCCCAAAGGGAGAGAGTCCTAGGAAGAGGTAGAAGAAACACAGTACCCCAAAAGTCTGAATGTGTAAGATGACCACTTGTTTACTCAGACACTTCTTATGCATGCTGCATGCCACTTACACTGTTTTTATAAATGATTTAAGAATGCTAACTTTAACCAGGTCCTCATAACTCTCTTGGTGACAGTTAAGTCCCTATACTCCACCCAGGCCCTGACCATGCTGCCCAAAGTTTCCTCATCTGCCCAACTCCTGCTGCTACTACGTAAGAGCTCCTAGAATCCTGAATTCCTTTCCCACCCTTCCAGTTTCTTTAATTCCTGATGCTGACTGGTAAGTAGTTCCCAGACCACCATTCCCAGGCTCCAACTCAACTAACTCAAAATGTGCAAATTCCAGGGCAAAACCAGAAATGGCTTCAGAATCCAAGACATATCATCTATAAAAATTATTAATCCCATAATAATAGACCCCAATGAGCATGACCTAGAAGAACTTCCAGACAGAGCACAAGAGAATGATAACAACTGCTTTCAAACAACTAAAGGAAGACAAAACCTAAATCATGGATGAAATGGGGAAGTCAACACAAGATATAAGTACAAAAACCAATCAAGAAAATTGCAGTAGAAGAGCCAAACTTAGATGATTCTGGAAATGAAAAACTCAAAAATCCAAATAAAACCCTCAGTGGGAAGAAAGCTCACAATAGAACAGATGGTGTAGAAGACAGAATATCAGGACTGGAAGAGAAGATAGAGGAATTGAACCACTCTGTAAAGGCCAATGATAAATTTATCAAAATCCACAGGCAAAAGTTCAGAGAGCTAAGGGAAATCAAGAAAAGATGTAACCTCTCGAGTGTGGGCACAGACAAAGGATAGGAATAACATACCAAAGGCATAAAACCACGGAGAAAACTACCACACTTAGAAAAATAAATTCCCACCTAGGTGTACCCAGGGTCTGTCCAATGAACCAGAAAAGAATCTCCCCATGACATATTGTAATCAAAGGACTAAATATATAGGACCAAGGAAGGATATTGAGAGCTAAAGAGGAAAAGCTAAGCTTTTCAGGCCTCACAAAATAATACCTGATTACCCAACAAAAACCTTTTAAGTCAGATAGCCCTGGGAAGAAGTATTTCATGTCCTAAAAGATCACAACTGTCAACTCAGATATTATATCCAGCAAACACATCTATTACAATTGAAGGAGAGATAAAAACAGATTAAAGGGATTCATGACCACTAAGTCAGCTATACACAGAATAGTATAATAATTTAATCTGAAGAAAAAGATAAACACATCAAAGAGGTCATGAGGAATAAATAAATAGATGCCAGGACAGTTAATCAAAAGAGATCTAAGAGAACACAACAGAATAAAAAGAGTGACAGGAATTAAATACACTATTAGTAATAACTCTGAATATCAATGCTTTCTATTCCCCCAAATAAAAACGTAGACTAGCAGATTGGATCAGAAGATAGGATTAATCTTTTTCCCACCTCCAAGAGACAATCATCTTAGGGGTAAGGAGTGGGAAAAGGTACTCCAAGCAGATGAAACTAGGAAACAAGTGATAGACTTCCAACCAAAACTAGGCAGGAGACACCAAGGAAAAACTTACAGGTGAGAACTGAAAAAGACTCCAGTAACCCAGGAAATAAGACAAACCAACAAATAGGATCTCATGAAACCCAAAAGTGTCAATACAGCAAAATAAACTGTGAAGTGAGCTAAGAGGCAGTTCCCAGACTAGGAAAAACATCTTTTCAGCCACTTATGACAGAGGATTAGTGTCTAGAAGATACAAAGCCTGGAAACTAAGCATTAAGAAAACAACCCAATTAAAAATGGTGTATGGAACTAAATAGAAAATTCATTTAAAAGAAATGCAGATGGCTAGGAAACACTGTAAGAAATGTTCAGCATCTTTAACCATTGGGAGAAGGCAAATCAAAGCTACTTATTCCAAGATGCCACTTCACTCCAGTCAGAATGTCCACCATCAGGACTACAATAACAGTACCTATGGCAACAAATCTGGCAAGCAGGGAAGTCTTACACAGTGTCAGTGGGACTATAAACTTTGGAAATCAGACACAATGTTTCTAAAAAAAATCTAGAAGCAGAACCTCTGTAGGACCACCTACTCCACGTCATGGCAGAGGCTCCCACCAGACTTTACAGCCTACCATGCAGATACCTGTGCATCCTTCATTCCTGCTCTGTGTGCAATAGCCAGGGAATGGACTCAATGAAGATATCCACCAACATAAATGTGGATAAGAAAATGTGACATGTGTACAAATAGAGTATTATTCATCTGTAAAGAAAAAAGGAAGTTTATAGGTAAATAGATAGAACTTGGAAAAAGTGTGCTGTGTGAGGGAACCCTGGCCCAGAAGGGTAAATTCCATATGTAGATTCTAGTTTCAAATCTTTCGTCTTGTGTAGTCAATTCAGAGAATAAGCAGAAGGCAGGAGAGCAGAGAGGAACCTTTCATGGAGGGGCATGTTAAGCATGGGGGGGAGAAGGTTATAGAGCAAAGGGAAATCGTGGGGGGCGCTGAGGGAAGAAACGCTTAAGCAGGGAGGGGAGTGGACTGTGGGGCAGGTGGTAATCAAGGGAGGAAAGAGACTAACCCAAAGGGAAGGAGTATGAAAATATGGAATAACACTATCCTATAACCCAACTAGATTATGGAGAGGGGGTGCAATACTGAGGGTTAAAGGATTAAGAAAGGATTGAGGTAGGGAGGGGACCTAGAAGGTAATGACTGGTTTAACCAAAACCAAGAATGTATTTCAAAAGCCTATTGAAATCCACTAGTTAATAAGCTGGTTCCAAAATATTACTTACAAAAAAGTTTGAGCAGAATTGACCTGCCTGGGTGGACTGTCACTTCCAGAAGGCATGTGTTATTAAATGAAAGTCACAGTACAAGGCATGGGGATGCCACTGTAGTTACTGGCTAGGGAGTCCCCAGAGGTCTCCAAATAACACAGGTTATTGCCATTACCCTTGGTCACCCACCATAACGACACAGTAAGACCCTATACTGAAAACAACACACACTTTGGCTATAGGTGACATAAACATCAGTTTCAAACTGACCAGAAAATATTCGCCCTACTTGTAAGCTTTCATAGGTACTAAAAGAAGCTATGCAGCTGCTGGGGGATGAACTGTATCAGTGGTCTCATCCAGTCCTGAGCCATGCTGTGGTACTGACCTGCAGGTAGGATGTACCTGCTGATGCATGAGGCCACGCTGTCAAATTGTCTTGTAAATACTTATGTGTACATGCGTAGACCTGGGATGCCCCCAACTGTGGTCAGAGAAGATTCTTCTGCAGTGGAAAACAGTCAGTAGCGATAACTGGACAAAGGCTGAGAATTTGATCCTAAAGGAGACTTCTATGCTAACCTATCACCACCAAGGCTCGGGGAACTCTGGGAAAGAGGAGGCAAGAAGAGCGTTAGGAGGCAAAGGATAGGGAGATGTACTGTGAAATGCTGTCCTCTGACCGTGACAAGGCCATAGCAATCAAGAATTCATAGTGGCTGTGGATACCTGCACAAGACCTACATAAGATTAAGCCAGCCAAAATGGTGGTATTGACAGGGAGATGTTCTTAGGCCTTACCCCCATTCTGAGGAGGTATTGGCAGTGAAAAGTATCTGGGGGAGAGAGAACCATTGTTTCTTGAAGTCACTGGAAGTATTCCCATGATCCAGTAGATGACCCTACATTTATGCACATATAGGCAGCACTAACTTAGAGGGCTATAAAAAAGACATTGCCAGGAGGTGGTGGCACACACCTTTAATCCCAGCACTTGGGAGGTAAAGGCAGGTGGATCTCTGAGTTTAAGGCTAGCCTGGTCTACAGAGTGAGTTCCAATACAGTCAGGGATATACCCTTGAAAACAAACAAACAAACAAACAAACAAACAAACCAAAAAGAGACATGAAGTGTGGAGGGGCATGTTGCATAGAACATGGGGAATTTAGAAGGGGAAATGGTGTATGGTATAATCATATTTCAGATGTATATCAAATTATCAAAAGTACGGAAAAATTTTAAAAACAGTGCCAACTTTATATTTTTGGCAGTTGATAAAAACAGAATCTCAACTTTATGTTCTCTCTGGGGTAAATCTTTACTCCAGGGAACTAAGTTTTTTATTATTTTGTTTTGCCTATCTATAAGTCTGTGTAGCATATGTGTGTGTGATGCCTGCAGAGTCCAGGAAAGGGCATTGGCTCTCCTGGAACTTGAGTTGTATATGGTTGTACGCCATGTGAATGACAGTGTTCTCAGGACCTTCAGTGCAATACCAAAATTCCCATAGAGAAGGGCCAGAACCCATTCCCATATTGGAGGAATCAAAATTTCTGGACATTCAAACTAAAGAGAGGTTTCACTTTCTAACTTGGGACAAATAGGATCCTGAGTTTGGACCTTTTGAGGACAAGGAAAATTTCTGGCACTCTGTGTCTGCAGCAGGGATTGGTATAGAGGGAGCGCATGCCCCTATATTAAATTTTCTCTGCAAACTGTGAACAGTTGGGCGAGTGCAGAGGAGTGCCCAGAGTCCCAGAAAGCTGGAAGCCACTATCAACGAAATGA